GAACATGATTTTAAGACTGATCTAGCCAAGCAATACAAATACCATATAATTGAACGAGTCAGATTTCAGAATACAGCAATCATTCTTGAAAGATTGTTGGTGGAATCTAAGCTTGCTTTGAAACAAAAAGCTTAAGTTACACGGATTGATAACGGCTTCTCACAGGCTGATTACACCTTGAAGGCTTAAACCTATTACAGTTATAACTTGAGAAATAGTTTTACGCCTAATAAATATCAACGGGTTGTTTACTGTTTGCAGAAGTTAAGAGTAAAGAATAAATGATCTCTACATTGGCTTTTCATATTTTTATCAGCAAAAGCAAAATAACTAAATAACACCATATTCTCTTTTCTCGACTTTTCACAGCTGACTGTAGAGGGAAAAGGCCAAATGTATACGAGAAGAACCAACACGCGGGGAATAAAACTGAAAAACGTATGTTTTCTGGACTTACATTTTTGGTTTTGTTGTAAAATTTTGTATGTGCTTGCTGATTTTTGAAATTTTATATTTGTTTTTGCGCCTGGACCGCGGCATAAACCGAACTAGCCGAAATATACTGGCCTCGGGGGTCCAATAAACAAAGCAATAAAATATTATTAATAAGCAAATGAAATAAAGTACGCTAACTGGAATTCTTAGCGTGTTTGCAAATGACACCCCAACCCTAACCCTAACCTTAACTCTAACTCTATCCCCTAAAACTACCGCGCTTTAACTCTCAGCGTGTCCAAATAAATGTTTTGATTCATGTGCCATCTCTTTTGCAAAGCCGCTTGGGTTCACTGTTTCTTTACCAATTACATGACCCAGGCTGCTGGTTGTTGTTCAAAATGTTTGCGGAGTTTTTCTCAATGCAATATGGAGGCGAGTTAGACTGAGAATCTTCAGCACTCCATGTGAATGTTCCCTTGAGAGAGCTTTTGAGTTGATAGACGGCTTGCAATGCTGTGGAGGGGCTAGGTATTCTGTTGTTGGAGTTAAATCCGACAATAAGCTTCTCCCAACTACCCAGCTCCATTGCCGCACTTGTTATGTCTCTCACCACGCTATCCACTGACTGCAAGTCGTTGGCATAGAACTGACAAAATACATAGTCGACGTCGTTCAACGGCAGGCTGATGTAGTCATTCCATGTTCCATCGTAGCCGCGGAAAGGTCCGACTGAAACTAAAAAGCCTCGGGCTTTGAAACGTTGTGCAAGCTGTGTGATTGCCGTGGAGAAATCGGGGTCTGACGTTCCGCCTTCAAACTAAGATAGAAAAGACAAAATTAAAACTCCTTACTATGAGCAAGTTTTCCTTGACACTGAGTTCCTTGCCGAATTTGGTTGCTCGTGTGGTCTTTTTTACGTCAGTAATCACGAGCAGGTTACCTTGTTTAAATACAGTCAAGAGTAGCTTTTGAGCAAGAATCAAGGTTTGTAAACAACAAAAAGCCTGTTAATTCATGGGGTACATACGAGCAGGTTGACTCATCAAACTGGTTTTTTGGAGTGAGAGTATCCGTTTATTGAGAAACCCATGTTCATAAATGAGCCTGCTGTGGCAAGCACGCGATTATTAGACCTGAGTTGGAAACCGTATTCAAGCAACATGCCGCGCGCGCTCAAGAGTCTCAAGAGAAGGGAAAACTCGAACATGCAAGCAAACAAAAGGCTCTGCCGGCAGGGTGACTGTGGAATCAAAAATGAACAAAATGACTAAAAAATACTTACCTGGATATCGACGCCATCCGCATTATAACTGTTAACTATACCGGAAATAGAATTATCTGCATTGTCTACCCACTGGGAGAAGCTCATACCGCCGGAAATACCGAACGTTCCTCCAAAGTTTGCTGATCCACCAATGGAGATCATATACTTTCTGCCTGGATTCGCCGCTTTGTCGCTAGTGATGCTATTGTAGGTAATACCCAAGCGTCCCCACTCAGAAAATGCCACAAATTTGCCCGTATATGACGGATCTTTAGCGAAACCCAGTAACATATAATTCACCTCGCTCGGTACAGAGGACAGTGAAGGAGCATATGTTCCTCCCGGCAACGCCCCGATGTATGTTCCGACAATGTGATCTCCTGTGGGGGTGCCGCCGCAGTCCTCCCTTTCTTTCCAGCATTCGCCACCGGGACAAAAAGCATTGACTGAATTACACCAGGCACCACAGTTCATAGATGCTGCATTACAATAGCCTGATGATGTGCCGCAGTCGTCCTGGTCGGCCCAGCAATCGCCACCTGGACAATCCATTTTTAAACTGCATTCGTCACCACAATTGTTAGATTTCGCATTACAATGGCCTTTTGCGACGCAGTCGTCCTTGTCTTTCCAACACTCACCATCTTGGCAATCCGAGTTAACGTTGCACTCAGCACCACAATTGCTAGATTTTCTATTACAAAAGCCATCATGGCGTTTCCACCAGGTTTTTCCATCGGAAAACTGGACAACGTGCAGCAAAACGAGCGCCGTGAAGAATGCCTTTGATCCAAACATTCTTAATCCAGGATATTAAGAACAAATCTTGGTGAAATGACGCCCCGCCAGTGGACTGTACACCTGAGCTAAAAACAAAAGTATCACCTCTTAATAGACTTTTTTACAAATAATACCAGTATCTTGAATGTTACTTTTCACGCAATGCTTTATCATTTATCCAAGCAATTGAACCTTTTTAAAGTACTAGTTAAAATCTTAATAAAAAATAGGTTAGCCAGAATAAAACAACAAGAGTTATAAACACTCTTATTCCTCGGCCATTTTAACTTCAGTAAAAATAAAACACAAACTGCGGTAACAAACATGATGAAACAACTCATGTTGCAATTAAAAACTAAGACTTTAAAGACTTGACATTTCATATCATTATGTAACAACAACATACTCTTCAGAAGTGACGGTTAAAAATATTACAGTACAATTTAAACATCTAGAAAAAGACTGGAAGGTAAAAAACAGGTAAAAACAATAACTAATGACAACAAATGATGATGACAGACTCAACTTTTTCAAATCTCTCCTAGCATCATATATTATAATTTCCTTCAGACTTCAAATCTTAGTATATTTAACTTCTAAACCCCGCAATTTTTACCCCTAAAAGTGGTCGCAGTGTCAAAGTACTAAATGTGTTATATATCATAGAAATTCTGCCGGTATGCTGAAATGCATAGGAACTTCTGCCTTGGATAAACCATAGAAGAAATACAGGAACTTCCTTTTAAAATACATTTTTCTAGGTGTCTCAAATGGTAAACGAGTTACTTAGCCTAAAAGCACTCAGTTACAAAAATGCAAGGACCTCTTCCCGGGTAAAGTTGAGAGGATATTGTTAAATGGGGGTCTTTGATGGGGACTAGCTCGACCTTCAACAAAGACAACTGCTTGTCTTATACTTTACTCACAGTTATTTGATAATCTTATTTCCTGGGAATAGACTCTCCAGTCTCTTGCGTTGCCACAATTCTCGGCTAAATCACTCTCATTTTTATATCAGTCAGAAAACCAGCTGCTTAGTGCAAACTAATGCTGACATAAGTCTTCTCCGATTGGTTAAAACAGGCCAATCATTATGAAACCTTCGAGATAATTTCTTTGTCAAAATTGTTCTTCTGTCGAAGTTTTCATCGTTAAGCTCAGGTTTTCTGGCCAACACCAAATAAGAAGAGCAATATAAAAACTACAAGGTATCTTATTAAATACAAAATTTTCATAATAACAAAGACGAAGGTACTAAAATTACATTTTGAAAATCTTGGCTTGTTGCCGATTTCGAAGAGGTATGGAGCTTCTTGTCGAAAAATGATTGGCTAAGACTTTTCCATATTTTAACTACGGAGGTGATCGGAAAACTCAGGAGAGGGCGAATTAAAAATGCGATACATTTTTTAAGAATGAATTTAGAACAATAGATGTTTCCTCCCCAAATCAAATTAAGAGTTATTCACTGACACGATTTTGGTTGAGGAGTACGTCAAGAAAAAAAAAACGGTTAAAAAGAATAAAGGAAGTCATTTCCTGCGAAATACCAATAGAAGATCAAACGACGGTGAAACTGTCAAACTGGTCAACTGAATCTCAACAGAGACACGGCTTTGATATCTGTCGAAATTCCCAATCAAAACGTACTTTTATGAAAAGAAGTGTTGGCCTGAAAAATGCCTGTACAGCTAGAGGTCGATAGAGGTGTTACTGGGAAGATGCACAAAAATGTGACATTTGCTTTGCACCGAATTCCTGTCAGGAGAAACTTTCTATCGTTCATCAGTTAAACTAGTAGGCTAAAACTAAGAGTGGTAAATTATAAAATAACTTAGTAAGATAATCGACTAGAGCGCTAATAACAACTTAACTCAAAACATGTACCCTGTAACAAATGCCACAAACTGCTAATTAAATTAGCTGGAAATCATTTTCTCATTTTGAGAGATGATGTCATTTGATCAGTATCCGGCTTATCCTAGAAGCGCTCAGGCAGAAGTCCTAGCATTTAATTAGTATCCCTGAGCGCTTACCGACACAAACACGTCTTTGATCGATATCTGTCGATAACCCCCAAATAAAAATACTTGAATGAAAAGAAGTGTTACCGTGGATCGAAATACACTCATTTAACTGAAAATACTTTGACAGCAAGAGGTGTTACTGCGGAGATGCACGAAAACTGGACATCTGCTTTCTACCGAACTCGTGTCGGGAGAAACTTTCTATCGATCAATTCCATCGTTTTGCATTTGTTTTGCACTGCGCATTACCTATTGCGTATAACATTGCGACTTTAATACTGGCGGTCATTTTCACCAGTCCCCTGAAAAAAAAGGTAAAAAAGGCTCCCTTTATAGTCCAAATCATTTTAATAGCTGTTCTGATAACTCCCTCGGCTTGAGCCGGTTGCCGCTTAAAAACACGCCGCAGTCCCTTTACGTAAAATGACCACTTGAAGCCAAAATTGCCCCTTTGTTGTTTTTTTGCAATGAAACGAGAACGGTTACCCCCACTTTTTGCAAGTGCATTTTACCTGTTATGGGTACAAGAAAAATTTTTTTTAAGGATAAAAAATTCTGGATAGTAGATGAAGAATTGAGTAAAACGCTGCATTTTGAGCAAAGAGAAGTATGGGATAGCGTAAAAAAGGTCCATTTTTTACATTACTTTCAAGATCGAGAAATTTGAAGTCACTTTACTGAAAAATATAGCCCATAGCCAAACCAACAAAAGCGCGATATGTTTTGGTAATATTCAAAGTTTTTGTTATATGACAATATTTTTTTACGGTTGTTGCAGTTTTGAACATTTCGTGCAACTTGCAAAAAACAAGCACGGTGGCCCCATCATTTTACTGCAAATTTTCAATTTACTATACATGGCTGTCAATTAGGCCAAGTTTGAAAAAGATCTGGATAGTACATCCTTTTCAAGTGAATAAAACTTCATTCAAAGGCCGATTAAAAGCCTTTTCTGACTCCGGGCATTACGTTAGTGGTAACTAAAAGCATTTCAACGAGTCCAAATTGAAAATGACGCAAATTTTAGAACACTTATTCAGTAATCTGACTCGGTGAAGTTTCAAACTGGTGTCTTTTCAGGCTAGAAATTTTCAAGTTGAGTGAACTACAGCGAAAAAAGGCCTGGTTAAAGCTTACCGGCATAACAACGTACTAGTTAGCAAAACACTACTTTTTCGCGGTCCGCTAAACGACAGGGTTCCGCATGGAATAGACAACAGACTGAGAAACATACTACACAAATTATCGCCTTCGTATCTGCAAAATCCGGCCTTTTGGTTCAAAGCCATTAGAGCCCGCTGAAACTAGACCTAGATCCAATTATCCTGAGTCGAGAGTTGCTTTGCCAAGGTACAATCAGCTAAACTAAACACCCAAGAAACGTTGTTATGGCTGGCACAGAATATTTTAGCGAAACAGCTCAACCACGCAAGCACATAGCTGTCAACACCATGCGGAAATCACAATCACGCACTTTCGCCAACCTCGTCCCCAGGGCTTTTCCCTTAAAAAATGGGTGGGGCGCCGCCGCCCCAACCATTTTTTAAGGGAAAAGCCCTGGGGACGAGGTTGGCACTTTCGCGGCACTGATAAGACTGTCCACAACCACGCATAATCTTCTGACGTTTAACACAAGCCAAATACTTTTCTCTTACACTCGTCTTATTCAAGTTCCCAGATGTAGAGTCACACGGTCGGCAGACCAGCGTAGACCCTGACTTCACACCAGAAAAAAAAACTAAGTCTTTGGCCTGGCCGGGTCAAACTTCATCGGCATTTTGGTCTCGCTTAATTCATTTTAGTACGATCCATCTAGTGTTCTACTATCAATGCTGCGTTCTGATTGGTTGAGCTACTACTAGGCTATATATTATAGCCCACTAGTAGCGAAAAGCGCCGGCGTTTGGGGGCAAAAAAAGATTAAAGTCTACCTTTAACTAGCTAAAGTTGTTTTGTCTCGATATTTTTGACCAACTAGTTGGATTTTACTAAAACAATTATTCCTCTTGCCCTCATGGCCTTTGAGTCAATAGCCCATTCGGCCTTCGGCCTCATGGGCTATTGATTAAGAGCCCATTCGGGCTCGAGGAATAATTGTTAATGACTCCTATGAGCCTGTTCCCGAGGCTAATATCGTACCTTTCTCTCTCAGCCTGGATGGGGGTGATTGATCCGTTTAGCCAAATGAAACGAGAATACAATACGATATTGGACGATGCAGACTTTGCGAATCGTAATAACTTGGTCCCATCTCAGAGCGTTACATGATGCTCTCCGGGAAACTTTTCTCCAGGTGACCAATAACGAAATGCAAACTGCTAAACCAGCTTTAGGCGCGCATTGATTTCAAATAGCTGTCACTTGTGTTAAGAGTGAATTGTGGGTAGGATGAAAACAAAAACAAAAAACACCGAGGGAGGGAGTGAAGGGAGGGGGGGTAAACAGAAATTCGCGGAATTCTGTCTACAGCCACATCTACACAAAGCCCTAACTACAAAACGAACAAAAAAACGACATAATTAAACAACTCAGCAAGCAAGCTATTAGACAGGGGAAGCTGAGAGAAATTACAAAATGTGTGCTAACTCAGTTTTCATAACTCCAGGTAGATTTGATTTATAGATTTTCGCAGTTGTTAAGATGTGCTTTGCACTTTATAGATACTTGAGATGTCAATGATTTAACCTTCGACTACTTCTGAAAGCAACTTCAACTACCCGTCTGACGTTACGTATGCCGTCACGGATGTGTTTATACGGGTAGCTCTGTACTTGACCATCAAGCACTCTACTTGCAGCACTTCATGTCGATCTATGTCCATAGAATAGAAATCCCATATCGAGCTTTTCCGGAACAGGTCGTTCCACAAATCTCTTGAGAACGTTGATTACTTCCGGAACAAGTAATTACTTCACTGGTCGAAAAAAATGAGCAATCTTAATGAGCAAAACTTCGAAGTTTACTGGAAAAGGATCAAGGATCGTTTACAAA